GCTGCCTTAATTTCAATGGCATATGACTATCCAACAAATCTGATGTGAGACTCTGAATCCTATGGCTTTTGTTGTTACATTCTGTGGAAGTAAAAGAGTTCATCTTTTGTTAAATCAGCTGCAAGTGTCAGATCCATAGATCTTTTGTCAGTACAGAAATATCAGATACAAACGGATTTCACCCAGAGTTTTTTTTCGTTCCAGCGGCGATTTATTCAGACCAGGCCATAAGCCAGGACTTGACTTGTAGACATGGGTACTACAAACAAGCCTAAACTACAAAGGCTTCTAACTTGCGACAAATCTGCCGGATTGACATGATCTATAGCTCAAAAAATAGAGAATCTCAAGAGCTTTTGAAGACCAAAGTACACCCAAAAAATATCAACGCTAAAGAAAGTTTGTAGCCTGACCCGACCACTTCGAAGCACGAGTACGATCCGTTTCGAGTCAGGACTACAAATCACTGTAATTATCTTTAGCGTTGATATTATTTGGTGTACTTTGGTCCATTCAAAAGCTTTTGAGAATCTCTATTTTTTGAGCTATAGGCCATGTCAATCCGGTAGATTTGAAGCAAGTTAGAAGCGTTTGTAGTGTGACAGTTTGTTATTTTTGAAGCTTGTAGTGTCCATATCTACTGGCTTGGCTTTTGACCTGCCTGATACGAACCTGGGCACTGGAAGCCTGGCCGAACCGGTCTTGCTTGCAGATCTTAGGTTTCGGTTAGAACGTATCTGATCATATCTGATAGTTTTAGGTACCAGATTAAAGCATATTGCCCATTGAAATTAAAAGATCTTTTGATTAGCATTAGGCTAAACCCTAATTGTCTTTCAGCTTCTTGGAGTTGCATTCGGTGGAAACGAGGCTCAGCGCTGTGTGAGGAGTACGGATTGCGCGCGCGATTGGGAGTGCCAACACGGCTTTTGCACCGATACTAAACTCGTCACTATTGCCGGTAAGGAACGTTTAAAATCTAGAAATCTAATGTACTTGGCAAAACTGCTTTTTTTAGGAGACTGCCAGGATCCAAACGAGGACTGGGTGGAATGCGCACGAACTTGCGAGCCAACATGTTCAGATACACAGCCAAAGTGTGAAATGGTACGAGCCAAAACTCTAGAAAACATTGGACGCATTGAAATTTTCAATTCTGAGACAATTTCAGGACTGTTCGCATTCCGGTTGTGTCTGCCGAAAGAACTATGTCCGATCTTCAAATGGTCAATGTGTTCGCCAAAGTAATTGCCCACCAAAAGCCTCAAGTAAAAATGAAAAACCCTAGTTGAATAAGTAAAATTTAGAATCGACAACAAACGATCGTATGTTTGGATTTGAAAATTGTTAAATAGTTTGATTAGATTGTATCTTTGACAGTCAATGCCCGAGCGGATTCGCGTGTGGGCATGGGTTCTGTAGCCCGCTTCCACAAGACACTTCGACGAAATTCGAATCGATTTTTGGTAGTATTTGAATCGGTAATTCTAAAATTGAAGTTTTAGGCTGCTCTACGACAAGCGATTGCCCTGATCGAGATTTTTGTCGTTCACGAAAATGCGTCAAAACCGGGCAACAAGATGGACGACAGGGAGAGCGTGAGTATCAAAACTAATTTGCTCTGTTTGCTAATTACGAATTACTAGTGTGCTTTCCCTTGAATTCACTAGGCGTGGCTATACCTGTGAGCTTTTGGCTTTTGCTTGAATGAATAACAAAACCAAGTTGATTCAATACACGTGGGGCAAAGCGTGTGGAAATGTTGCAACGAAACTCAAAGAAACAATTTATTGACCCAGAGACAAAAAGGAGTCACTTTGTTGAAAATTGTGGAAGTATTTCGAACTCCATTAGATTGGGTAATAAAACCAACCTTCACACGAAAAAATTTTGTGTTTGAGAGAAAGTTTTGACTAAATGGGGAAGGCGTTCTTTTATACGCGTGTGAGGAAGACATTGTTTAGGGTACGGTATTTCTGGTGTTTTATTGACTCCGGCAGCTTTTTTGTGACTCGTCACAGTAAGACTAGTTCCTTTCGGCTAACGCGTTATCTAAAAAGCACCATTTTGGAAAAGGCTCAAACTTTGAGAAGCGATTTCGCGCTTAAGGGTAACTTTTGTTTCCCTTGAAAAGCTCTGAATCGTTTTCCTGACATCACCAAGTGAGATCGTTTCAGAATGCAGTGCTTCTTTTGATTGTGAGTCGCCGTTGAACTGTGATCGAGGCGTGTGCAAGGCCGCCTTCAGCAGCTCGCCATTTTCAGCACCTCACAGTCAATCCACTACAGGAGGTTGGTTGCAAAATAGTTTATTGGCAAATAGGCTGGTATGTGCGATAATATTGATATTGATAATCTTACAACTATTGGAAATGGTGCAGCCTGATTGTGAGAAACGCTCACAATAAAAGGTGAAGAAAGTTGACTACAAAAAATGCTTTCTCTATAAAGCCATCAAATTCTAGGTTGTAAGTCATCACACATCACATCACATCACAAACACTAACAAACCTTTGCTGTGATTTACCCCAACTTTCCAGGAATCGGCTCAATGAGGGACGTTTTCCCTGGCGAAAAGCTTCGACGAAAAAGCGGCATTGAGATCTATCCAGAGATGCTTGATAATGCACTTGTAGCCATGTTCTTTTCAAATTCTTGGTCTCCAGCCGGTCAACTCTTCTATCAACAATTCAAGAAATTCTTTAAAGATTTGGAAAGACAGGGGAAAAATCTAGAAGTTGTGTACATTGGAGTAGAGGATCAGAATGAGCAAGATTACAAACGATTTGTTGATCTTTTCCCTTCCTCGTGGATCATTTTACCATATCGCTGGGCGAAAACGAGGGAAGTGATGGGGAAATTTGGGGTCAAGGGATTGCCACATATTCCATTGTACAAAAGGGGACGGATTGTTGTCGAGAAGACAAGATATTCGAGAAGACATTCATCGGTATGAATTTGGAGCCGAGACGGCTGATGCACTCTATCGGAAATGGGAAAAGCTTTGAGATTGGAATTGCAATAAAGTTTTGTTTACCTGAAAACTTTTACACTTTCAATTTTCACATTCTTTTGTGCATCCCTTTACTGGAATGCGTTCCAAAATCTTTCAAGACACTTTTACAAGGTCTTGGGGTTAATACTAACCTCAAACTTGGGTAATTAAACCAAAACCAGTAAATAATTTGATTAGAAAGTTATTATAAAGCTAAAAAAAGCTACAGAGCCGTGGATCTAGGTTGCCGAAAGGATCGAGACTGTGATGCGGGACTTCTTTGTGGTCGTTTCGGTCACTGCGTCGAGAAAGACAAAGAAAAACGAGAAGAAGGAGAAGGTGGTTTCAAATGAAAATACTTTATCTTATAATTTAATCTAAATCCAAAATTGTATTTTAATCTCTAATCTAATTTAATCTTTAGTTTTATTTCCAGTTTTGCTAAAATTTACTAGTAAACTTTCCAGTCTGCGAGTGGACACATCAATGCGCGAACTTGATGATCTGCGCGAATGCTGAGTGCAAAAAGATTCGTCACTGAACGTCACTGAACTTGTAGTTTTCTTTGAAATAAATTGATTAACTGAACTGATTACCATATCATCATCCCCTATACAAAAAATTTCCCATACGACCAAGGTCATCACCACCATATGTCACCACCACCAGCATCATGGGATTTTTGCTCTAAAATTAAAACTTTCTACTGGCGTCGTGGTCCATAATAAACGCTATTAGGATAACTACAAATTTAAAGCATACACCTTATTGATCAGCGTTTCCTTGGAAAAACGAGACACTTCTTTTAAAAAAGGCGAGTTGAAAATTTCTTATGTATGACAGATTATCATACAATGTAGATAAATAGAGTGTTTTGGTAAAAATCTTATTTTATATATCAACTCTAAGATGACACCATATTAGAGTTAATACCATTCTAATATGACACCATATCATGGTATTTGGTATGGGAAATTTTTTGTATAAGGGATCATGATATGGTAAAAATCATGACAAAAGATCAAAAGCCCTGGAATCGTATTGCAACCGTATTGGGACAAAATAGGAACCCTAATGGAGCCGTGCGTATTAGAACCGTATTGGGACAAAATAGGAACCTTATTGCAACCGTATTGGAACCGTAATGGAACCGAATTGAGACAAAATAGGAACCGTATTGGAACCGTATTGGAAACGTATTTGCGACCCCAAAAAAAGATCATTTTTGCACCATACCTACCACTTTGAGCCACTTAAATTTTTTTAGAAATTTGACACAAAGTTACTTTTTTTTCGACAGGGCTGCCAAAAAACTCTCGTTGCTTCACTTTCCCCCTCATCAATCCTTTTTGCACATTCTTTTTCCGCTCCTTTAATATTCAACTTATCAAATTATTGCCCACTCTGTTATCGCATTCTTACAGTTTTTCTATCGTCGCTCCTTGACATTTCGTAAAATTCCATGTAAAAACGAACTTTCAGAGACTTCTTCCGCAAATAAATTAGAGATTCGAGCAGATTTACAACGGCTTTTCTCTTTTTTTTTGTTTTTGAAACTCGTTTTAAAACGCAAGCAAATGATTTAAAGCAAATGAACTCCAATAAATAATTTATTAGAAGATCACGCCCAGAAACAACTTTAAAGCAGTGACAAACGTTCGCTCAGCCGAAAAATTCTACTGGTCACAGAAATCATGTGCTAACAAATGGAAATTTCCCATAAAAATGAACATAATACCTTAACAGATTGAAAACGGAGATAAATAGTATGAAAAAATGAAACCTTAAAATAAATTAAGTTTGAGGAAAAACAATCAAATTCGCAAAAAGTTTGGGTTGTTTATCAAAGAATACAAACCATGTAAGCAATGTAACAGTAGCAAAGTAGCAAATAAATAAAAAAGGGAGTTGGAAAAAAAATTGGCATCTATAACAATGAGTGAATCACGTAAAATATGCACATTTATCTGAAAAACGGAAAAATCTTATAATCATAACTCGAATTATTCTGCAGTTCCATCAACCTGAAGAAAGAGTAAAGAAATAGTAGAGTTAAATCTTACTTTTTCAAAGCCGTCGATGATCTTGCTGAGCCCCTCGGAATTTCGCCAACGAATAAATCGAACGGTGATCGAGGTGCGGAAGCTTGCTTCACCTAAATTATTATTGCCCATGACAAAGTTATAATGAGAATTTTTACAACTATTCTTTAGAGCAGTAGTAAAACCTCCATATGTTTTTTTGAAATTCATACTGTTTTGCAATAATAAATCAAGCGAGTAGAACATCTTGCCGCCTTCACCGCGAAACTAAAAATAATATATCAAGGCATAAACAAAACAATTAGGTAACCCGTTTAGCCTCTGAAGATTTGCTGGTGAAATATGTTCATCCAAATATTCCGAGGAATATTTGTCGATTAGCTCCCGTAAAGTTGCGAGAAGTTCACCAATACCCTCTCCGGGAATCACCATCTGAACTTTTTTGTTAGGTGGAAATTTTATTGCACATTTATAGACAAACCTGACTTCGAGACATGCAAACGTTGTAAGAGATCGCCCTTTTCCTAAACCTTTTCACATAAGAAATTTACAATTAAGTGTATACGGTTTGCGCAATTCGCAAGAAACGTTTTGCTTGAGATCCAAATAATAGCGCCTGGTTTCATAATTCAACTTCTCCGACTTCTGTTCAACGTCTTTCTAAACAAAGTTCATTAAAGTTGAATATAACGTTAATTCACCTCAACTTCCTTGTCTGGTGTCTCATCAGAAAACGCTTTAAGGATCTCAATCTTCTCCAGAGCCAAGGCAACGGCTGCCGACATGGTGAGGATGATACGTGATTTGTCATTGTTTCCCATCTATATTTCCCATAAGCTTTCTCAACCTGCTACTACTTATAACTAACGAAATTTGTCTTTCGACAGCACCAAACAAAAAATACCTCTGCTATCTTAATGAAAAGTCCTCATTTGTTCTGCTTGGCATCCACGTAGAAGCGTTTGTATTGAATGTTGAGAAGCTTACTCTCGAGATCGTCTTCATTTGGCTGTCCGCCTTGCGCCACTCACCGTTCGTCAGGTTGTCCCCTATCTTCACTGCTATAAGACATCTAAAATCAGTGTAATTAAAAGGAAACTAATTAGGCGGCACTGGCATCACCATTACCAAACCAAATTAATTCTTAATTCTCCAATTCTTAACAACATCTATCATTCAAACCAATAATTCATTGGATCGTAAACTTCAAAAATATGTGTTAGAAAGAAACCTTTTTCTCAACCTTATTCTATTGCACAAAAACGTTAGTACTGATTGATAAAAACTATGGGTCTCTAACCCCAATCATCAATATCGAAACGCCATAGTCTGCAAAGCATTTATTTTCATAAAAACAACGTTACACTGACAAGGAACCCGTACAAAATGGGCAAGCAATAGGAGATCAAAAGACGCAAAAGTGCAAGTGCCATAAGAAATACTTGTGACAACCAAAAGCGAAACAAATAAAAGCCCAAGTCAATTCCAAATACATAATTTGACCAGCAAAACAATGTTCAAGTAAATAAACTCAAGAGTGCAAAAATGTTCTGATCAACTTCCAAACTACATTCCTTCCTAAAAACTATATTTATGAAAAGCTTGTGACAAAAACCCACTTGTACTGATATCAAAAATTTCAATCGTTCTTCGACTAATTCCTTTGAGATTGCCAACTTTTATGAAGCGTAAATCGCAATATTCTCGAGAGTACCTTCCATCTGAATTAATTTGTTATTTGTGAAGAATCTTAACGAAGATAACGAATACAGAAAAACCGGTACTAATAAGCTTCGCGGGGGGGTCACTTTAACCCGCCTTGGCCAGACCCCATTCTAGACATGTTTTTTCTAGTCTTGTTTTGCATTTTCTGGGGTAATTAAATACACTCAATCGATTGACAATATTTTTCGAATATTTGGAATTCGTTCAAATCTCAGCCGGGCCACTCGATGTCGAAAGATCGGAGTCGACAAGTACCTGAATGAGATCATATTTAGAAGATTTCATACATATTTCAACAACTAGACCGGCTGCTGATAACCTAATTCTTGAAAAATGCGAATTAACTTGTTAAACTGTCACATAAACCAATAATTGTACCTGATTCGATTCGTCTCGCTTCTCGCTGCAATATCCCTCCGATTGGCTATCCACGAGTGAACGATCGTTCGCCGATGGGCACGGGCTAAAATGAATGATTGAAAAAGTTAGCTTGTATTCGGTTATATCTTTCAGCACTATTATTAAATTATAAGAACAATTATAAGTTAGATCTACCTGGGAATCGCGGGCGTTGTTGGCTGAAGTCCCTGAATACTCGAGTGCTTATCGATTTTGCCAAATTTGTAGAAACGCTCAAGTGCGCATTGCATCGCCCAAATAGATAGTGGTCTCATGTAGCCGATCGCGCAATAGAATCTATAAAGAATAGCAATTATACATGTAAAAGTTAACCACATCATGCTTTTATTAGAATCTATGCTTACTTCTTCTCGTAGATGGCCTCGGGAGTTTGAAATTGTAGCTCGAAGCGCTCAAAACACGAGTCATAACTGCCAAAAGCTGTGTCGAAGCCCCGTTGAAGTTCTCCCTAAAAAAAAATTTGCATTTATTTACAAAAAAGAAAACCTGTTGAATCATAAAAGCAGCAGCCGCATACGTGACACCAGTCCACATTTCATCGGCCTTAAATTTTAAGGTTAACAAATCACACTCGAAACTTGAAAACAAATCACACCTGTATGTACGCTCGATCCAAAGTCCCATCGGGTCTCATTCCATTCACGGCGCCCATCTTCCCATCACCAAATTTGCACACGTTCAACTCGTAGATCGTCGCCAAAGCTTTCGACACTTTCTCAGTAGGAACCAACTAAAGAAAATTCACGTCAACAAAAAACTTGGTTAAAGCTTTTAAATCCACTCACCTCAGCAGCCATTTCCGGTGAGCAACTTTGTAAAAACCAGATCCCGCACAATTGATCAGCCATTACCGAATCACGACTCTTTGAGCGCTCGCAAAAGTTGAAATAGGCTCCGTTCCAAAGCTTGTCGATAAACACCTAAAATCAGATTAACTACGCATTGTTGCCGCTCCACTCATATACTTGCTTAGCTTTGACAAGTGTTTGATGGTATCGAATCGAGCTTTCAATATCGCCACATTCTTCAGCCATCGCCACCGCCACCCTCAAAGCGCCCAACCAAAGCGATCCACAATAAGCACTAAAAACTCTCAGTTTAAGTAAAACACTATTTTTCCACCTGACGCCCTCCATCTGCCATGCATCATGTGTTTGATCGGCTTTCCCGAAGTTCTCGATCATTCCTAAATTTTCCAAAAAAAATCAGAAAATGGAAGGTCACTAACCATCACGGTCTTGATCCCAACAATCAAGCGCATCGTTGATCAGCAACTAAAGTAGAAATTTTAAAAAATTCTCCGGACCAAAATTTACCTTAACAACCGGGTAGACATGATCTAAAAATTTGCGATTCTTCTCCATCAGAATCACATAGTCACGCCATGAAGTGAGCACGAATTTCAAGTTGAGATCTTTCCATTTTCCAGTGTCGTGCATCACATAGGCGTTCGTCAACAACCAGGGATCTTGCGCTGGAAAAATGGATGACATAATCAGCTAAAAACTTGTGATACCTGGATTTCCTAAATCATGTGGTACGCGGGCTCTCGATTTGAGTGGTGCTTTGTCTCCTTCCATGTGAAAGCGAATCTCTTTCTCGGGGCTGTGTTCGACTTGATCAGCTGTAAAGAAAAGATAAACTTAATTGTTACAGGAATTTATAGGTAGCGTACAAGATAGTAATCCAAAGATTCTCTTTGAAACTCACTGAATTCCGCTTGAATGGTCCAAAAAACTCCAAATCCGGCCAGAGAGAGGCGATCGCATAAGAAGCATCTAAATGAACCCATTTGTAAATATAAGTCAATAACTATTTAGTGCTAGCCATTAAATTATTTAAATGATTACCCATAAAAAAGAATAAAACTTACAAAAATGCACATCATAGGTGGTCACCATTCGATATTCCCATGATTCAAGATACCCAAAACGACCATGCCTTTTCATCAACGCTTGCGTGTAAGGAGAAAGATGAGGTTCCTGAAGAAAAGGTTGAAGAAAGATATCTACAACTACCTATTGACTCCAATTCCCATCATACTCGAACCACACTGAGCCACCGTCGGTCATGTAGTAGAGCTCGTTGAAAAGCGCGGCTTTGTACCATTCGGGCAAATATCTAAACTCGAGTGCTACTAAATGTTAGAATAAAACTTGATAACATGGATTAAATCACAGCATGAACGCACGAATGTCTCAAAAACGGTTCCTCTCACTCGTTGATCTTCGCTTCCCATTTCGAATAGTCGAGAAGAGTTGTTGAGCACAATTTCGCCGCGAGTCCCTCCAATGAATCGAAGAATCGGGTGTATCGCCTGAAAAGCAAAACGGTTATAAACTGGACATTCTTTTACAATGTTCTTTTAATAGTATATCATTAAAATGAAAATTTCTTACCTTTTGTATTCTCGTCTTCCATCGCCGAGTTTCACCTTCGGCATGTCCCAAGCTAACGAGAATTCGGCCCAATCCGAGCGAGTGCTTTTTGGTGGCACGACTCCTTTTACACAAACACCAACACCCAGACGAGCCGGATACGGAAGATCGGCTAAAATAAGTTTAGTTAAAATCATTCATTGTATTCATTTCACTAAAAAGATACCTTCACCAGGCAGATTTCCAGTCTCAGCAAGATGTTGCCACAACGTCAACCCATTTCCACAAGGGTCAAAGGAACGACACAATGAAGTGATTTGATCAGACTAAACGAAAAGAAAGTTATAAGGAATAAAATTGTTATTGCTTACTTTAACTCGTGTTGCCAACCCGTACGTCATTATCGATCTTGTGTTGCAAAGCGACACCCGCAATATCTAAAATTGGGTATTCAATAGGTTAAACTGAGATTCATAAACCATTTTCCTCAAAGTTTTCCGCTGTGCAACCGGCAGCAAGATCCGATCTTCTTTTACCCGTTCCGTTGCGAAACACAAAAGCAATTGATACCTGTAAACAAGGTTCGGTTATGATAGAGTGCAGTTTTTAAAATGTTACCTCATATTCAACATTACTTCTATTGTCAACATCGAAAATAAACGCGGTTGTGGGGAATGAAGTTTCCTAAAACTTAAATATAAAAATTTTAATGCCGAAAGCTTTACCTTGTAGTTGTTCGGAAAGACGGGATTAACTTGTCGCAATGTGACCGAGAGATTGCACGAGGGCACTTTGTATTCCGTCCACGAACGAGGGTAGAGTCCTCTAAAAATGGAAACATTATTGGTTTCTGGTATGTACGCATTGTTGAATTTTTGGGAAGTCAGATACGTATATTTATTTACCGAGTCTCCTTAATCATAATATTTCTTGCTTTTTCTTTTTTGAGCTTAAGGCCAATGATAAAGGCAACTTTAACCGAATACATCGGCTCTGTTTGAAGGATATCCCTACCCAAAAAGACTGTTCAATAGCTTCCAGTGCAAAATTTACGTTCCAAATGTACTAATCTGAGTATAATGTGGGTCGGCCCCACATTTCTTTGGAGGTCTTATTAGATTACGGAAAATTTCTTTTTTTAAATACTTTGCGCGTAGCTAGCACCAGTTTTTAATAGCTAACAAACTGCTAATGCCTTTTTAGAAAAGTTCTAGCTTCTGGTCATTCAGAGAACTTTCAGATTTCCTTGTCCATTCAGTTATTAATGTTTTTCACTTCTTGTTTTTACTTTGCAAAGAGTCACGCACTTATTAATTTCGAGGCTTGATTTAATCGATTTATGAAGCAATCCAAATCGATAAACCTCTTCTTGTGCCACATACAGCAAAAGTTGTAGAAAGATTCCAGTAGACTAGCCAACGAATATAGCAAAAAATGGAGGACTTTTCGAATCTTGAAAAGATTGATCAAAAGGAGTTCTACCTCTGAATCGAATTGCTCTTTTTTTATTGTTGTTCGAAATTTAAAAGGTGTTCCCCTTTCTCTTAAAAAAACTGGAAATTCGCCCAATGCAATTGAAACTCTGACTTCCCTTCCTTTCGCTTCTAATCGTGTTCGCCTTCTAACCGCCTGTTTGCTGGGATGGGTTCCGTTCCTCAGCGATGGCTTGAAATGTTTATTTCTCTCGAATAAACGTATGTTGAGAAAATTTCTTTAAAGTTTTGTAAAAATTATTTACGTTATCATGTTGCAGAATGACCTTCCCTTTCTTTGGCCTCTTTTTTACAACTTCAGCAGCGAGCTAGCTGATCTAGATCTAGTTGACTAGTGTATAATAACGCTGTAATAGCTGTCCCTTTAGGTAGCAATTCCCAGTGAATAGGTCCTTGGGTATCCCAACAAATACTGAGCCTAATCCTCTTCTGGTGGAGTTCGGGCTTGGGCTCAGGTTTGGGGTTTTCTCCGGGCCCCACCCATTGATTGTGTCTCCGGTAGTTGACATATAGTACTCATTTTTCACCCCCAGTAATGTGGAAGAAAAGATCGAAAAGATACCGAGTGTAGAGAGCAACCGAGATGCCATTTCCTGTGGTCTGTGAGCTCATGTGGGATCCAAGTCCCAAATTTCGAAGCGTACCCATTGCGTGGAGATGGGTTTCTTGTTGTATGACCACACTGTAGTTGTTGAGCTAAATCACGGGCTGTTTATTTATTGTCCTCCTTAATAATATTAGCTAGAGTCGTTGCATTGACGTCACTCGGGCGCCCTGATCTTGGCTGATCTTCGAGTGAAATTTTTATGCATTATTTATCAATAAACAAGAGTTTTTTGCTTTCAGTAAACCTTTCGCTTTTGCTATCAGACTTAAATCTTCTTTTAATTGGTGGAACATAAATTGGTTAGATGAAGAATTCTTCTACTTTTATTGAGAGATTTCTTTCTCTCTTCTTTCTTTCTTTGCTTGTTGCGAGCACTAGCTTCCTATCTTCAAGCCAGTTGATTTTATTCTTTCTCTCGCTCCACAAAAAAACTTCACCAACTGCTATTCTCAAAATCTTAATTCTCAACGGAGAAAACGCGATTCTGAGTTCGGCAACAAATGGATGCCGTTGAAGAGCTGCCCTTCCACGAGATTCAAGATTTAATTGGATGTGGCAGTTGTGGGAAAGTTTTCCTCCTCAAAAGTCACAGTCCGTAAGTTTCTTTTAAACACAAACTCTTTTTACATAACTTTATTACACTTTTGTAAAATCATGCTCTTAAGACGAACTAACTGAGTATATCGAGGTGTTTGGCTGGGGTATCCACGTAGCGCATACCGACCAGCTCGTCGCTGAGACCGATTGTTGCACTGAAAAGGGCATCTAGTACTGCGGAGCCTCTATAAATTAACAACCATTGGATATCAGTATTGTTATATAGAAGCTATCGTATATAGCGATTGTTATTTAAAAGGCTCTATTCTAATTTCACATTTCGGAAAGACTGAGCTTTTTTAGTTTGCGCAACATTTAAAAATTTGAAAAAAAGAAGTGAAGAAAATTTCGTGATTTTAGGACCATTTCAGGACGTTTCTTTTTGAGCTTCACTAGAAACAATTGTTGTTGTGAGATTGAGACTTTCAAATGCGAAATCGATTCATTTCATAAGACGAATTTTTCCATTTTAGCTATTCTAGCTATTCGAATGTGTGCTTCTTTAAACAAATTCTCCCAAAATTGCCTTTTCTCTTCAAGCACAACAAATTTTTTTGCTTTTTGCATAAATCATAGAAAATACTTTGTATATTTTATACGTTTTTGCCTACACTTTGAGAGTGTATTATCCATTTTTGTTTGCCAAGAAAGGACACAAAAGCCACGAGTGACTACGCAGCACTCATTTGTACATCTATTTTCAGTGCCCTTTTCGAACGTTACGCTATCTCAATCCCATTTCTTGAAAACATCCCTTTTATTAAAACAAGTGATCGATGAAATCAATAAACACTGGATTCCCATTTTCTCAAACTTATTCAAATTCGATTCAATATTCAAACTCAAATCTATTCGAATGACTGAAAACCCGGAAGCTCCGAATTCAGAGGTTCAGCTGAATTCCATTGAACTTCTCAATCTCCCCGATGTCTGCTTGAATGTAATCCTCGAAAAGTGCAATCTTTCAGAAATCTTTTGTTTTTCAAGAACTTGGTGAGTAAAAGTTAAATTTTCGAGAAAATCCAATATTTAGCCGCCATGCTTTCGCTATCGTTCAACGCAACAAGACCCAACTTGGGGTCGGCTTTCGGCTGGCTGTTTTGTGTGAGGTTTGACATTAACTTGATAGGCTGAAAACTATATAATTTTCAATAATATAGTCGGTCTAATAGTTTTCTTTAATCCTGCAGCAAGCCTAGAAATCCTCCATTTGCGCTCTTGCAAACGCCCACTTTCTGGTACACCGAATTAGTCACTTTAGCATATTATCTTGGGAAATTTGAAGAAGTTTTACTATTTATTGCAGTACAAATTTAGTACGATTGAATCAAAATCCAATTTTGATCAAAACCCTTTAGGATCGCCTCTACTTCAACCGCTTGAATCGATGGTCTTTGGAGAGAATTGAGTGCGCAAAGATTGGCTCATTCTTCTCAAATCTTCAAGTCAAAACCTTTTCCATGGAATTTTCGGTGCGTTTTCTATAGAAAGATAAAACTTGACAGTATTTTGAAATCCACTTTTACCGCTAAAGACCAATTTTCAGCCTCAAGCCAAAAACGATGCTCGCTACTTGGTCACAAATCGTTTGGGAAAGTTGACTTTCGAGTTCAATTTTAGTCATTATTTGAAAGAGGTTTGAATGCTTAATTGCACCAAATGTTGGTTTGGCCAGAAAGTTTTCTCCGCCTTTTTGAAATTTTCGTTTATAAATGAATAATTAGCCGATAAAGCCGTGTAATTTGCTTTAGATAAAAAAGATTTACGATTACATTTAGTCATTTTTAGGCAAATTTTAGTTCGCTTTGAAGCAAATTCGGACGAAAATCCTTGTTTTTCCTAAAATCCTTACAATGAACATAGAATGAAACCGGCTTGATGAAATGTTATGGAAATTTGTATACCTGCCTAACTTTTTATTCTCTGTCTTTTTTCTTTTGATACCAAAATAGTTTTCTGTGACAAAAGGTGCTCAAATCGAAACTTTAAGTTTCAGCGTTTTTCACTCCTCGACTTTACACCTTTAAAAAACTGAACTAACGCGAGTTTTTCAGAATTTTTTAAAGGGAAATTTGTAAATAGATAATAGGACTTTTAGATAAAACAAACCATAGATCGATTGATTTATTATTCATTTCAAAAAGTAACCTTTAAAAAAGCGGACAAGACTTTCCGGCTAACCTGAGAGAAATCACGGATGAGCTGAAAATGCAAAATTTCCTACCGTGTTCCATTTTGACTGATAAAGCAAGTCCTGGTTCGAATCTGGTTAGATATTTGGATTAGAATGGCATTTTTCAGCAATACTCAACTTTCATGGAAATCGCGAGAACCTGGAGAGTTGGTGCCTTGAAAGTGAAGTTGAATCCACAAGGGGCGCCGAAACAACTCCATAGAAGCATCTTTTCAATTGTCAGGTGAGTAAGAAAAGTTAAGAAAATCTTTAACTTTACCAACTAAATACTGATTTGAACAAAATCCCAATCCATTTTTCCTGCTTTTTAGAGACATCAACTTCAAGGAGCTCACTTTTTTGCTTCCATCCCAAAGAGCAATTCAATCGGTACCCATTTTGAAGCTCAAAAGCTTCCCCGAAAGAAAGCATTTAATTCCGATGAGTTTCAAGCTTGAGAAGTGAGTTTTTGAGTTAAAATTAGGATCAGCTCTGTTCTTTGTGCTCCAAATCGAAATGCGCTCTTTCTACAGGGTTGCCCACAATTATAACGCACTTCGGAGGGCCTAGATTGGCCAAAATTGAATCAATCGTTCTGATTTTTCTGGAGGTAAATCTTAAGTTTTTCTTCTGGAACGGTGCCAATTATCTAATCGATTCAAGCTTTCAACTTCTTTATAAGGCCTTCCAAAGTTGAGAGCCTGGTGGAGTTCGACTCGCTACTGATTTATGGGATTTTTGAGAGCGAGCTTGTCAAAATCCCGTTGAGATTGGATTTATTATGTTAATGAACGAAATTTCACATGCACTATGCAGTTGAAGTGCAAAAATTCTTGAGAAATGTCACCAAAACTCACTTAATATGGTATGTTTTCACTTGAAGCATTCAGAGAAGCCATTAAAAAACAAGAAAATCTTATTTTTAAAGGTTTATCTCTTTTAAATTGCATAAGTAAATATGATTAATTGAAAATTATTCAAATCTTAAAGACTTTTTATCTAAAGAAATGAAACTTTAAAAATTCCATAAATGAGTAGCGTGTAGAGCGATAGCTTTGGAAGGCCATATAAAAAAGCTGAAAGCTTGATTCGATTAGATAATGTGCACCTTTTCAGGAGACATACTTAAGATTTGCCTCTAGAAAAACCAGAACCATTGCCTCAATTTTTGCCAATCTATTTGACCAAAATTGTCCAATCTGGCCAATTTTAACCCTTTGAAGTGTGGCGCTATAATTGTGGGCCACCCTGTAGCACACTCAACTTGTTGCTGTGAGAAAAATGAAGCATTGAGTACGGCAGAAAGGCTAAGTTTACATTTGGAATACAAAATGTATTCAAAAAATAAGTTTCCAAGCATTTTAGAGATACCCCGAGACAACCGCGATCGGCGAGCTTTCAATTCACGTGGAAAGGACTCGAGTTTGACCGTTTGCTCGAAGTAAGCGATTATGAGAAGAATTACTGAAAAAATACAATAGAAAATTCAAGAGGAATTACTTTCTTCAGGCCATGCACAATGAACAGATATTCTTGTTATCGAATGAAAGCTTCAAAGCGTTGATCGATATCAAACCGGTTGACGAGGGTCAGAAAGTCAGGTGTGGAGATTAAAAATTGGGTAATACGATCCGATCATGTCGAAAGTAGAAGTATAATACGTTTATGTGGCTAATTTGAAAAGATACTGTAATCTTTTCTTTAGATTTTTTCAGTTTTATTTAATTTCGAGAATTTCAGCTTCAACAAGGCCTTAGAGTTACACCGAAACGATTTTGGGTGTTTTTGCCATGAAAAGATTAATGTGATTTGAATAATTATCTTGTTCATTTTGTTAGAGCTAGTTTTTAAATGTAAATAGAAGCTTACATTTATCTTGTTTTCTTTTCGACTTGTGATATTACTTGTGTGACTTACCTGTGTGATCTCACGAATAAACTTACTGGTTCTTTAAGCCAAATCTTGCGAAAAAGCTTAAGCAGCTAGATATATCTAAACTTTTTGACCTATTTAGATTTTGACAAATTTTAGATGGAGCCCATAAATTTATTAAATTTGCCGAACGAGGTGCTGCTAAAGATCATCTCGAGGTGCTCGGCCAGAGACGCGATTCGATTCAAGCAGGCATGGTTAGTTAAAGAATTTAAAACAAGAAACACATTATAAAAATCATAACTGAATTCAAGTATAACTCCTAAGCATGACCAGTCTTTTTTTCACTTCGAAAAACTTTCTAAAACTTACAAGGGACGATCTACTTGATCAGGTGCGAAAATCAAAGAAATTTCTAAAACTTCAAGCAGACTTCGTCAAATGATACGCGTTTGATATTAGTAGAAAGGTTAACTAATTCTCTATAAAATGACATTTCAAAGAGTGCTCAAACAGCGCCTCAGCTCAACAAAAAGCCAATTTTTTCACAGAGTCATCTAGAGAAAACGTTCGGAGGGATCTTCCTGAAAATTTGGCAACTCATGTAATTGAGTGTGCTCTATCTTTTTATGTAGACACCAAAGGAGGTTTATGTGGAAGAAACTGTTCAAACGATGAGTCGGACCCTTTGTCATTTTGACTAGCTTTGGGAGTCAATAAACTCCACAAAAGAAAAACTTTCAAAAGTCATTTTGTAGAGAAATAGTGGGTCCTTTTGATGAAATAAAAGTATATTGAAAGAAGGCTTTATGCCTGCAAAAAGTGTCTTTAAAAAGCTCTTTAAAGTTCTTTAAAATTCGCCGCCATTTAATCCTGATATATAACTAAAGCCAGATAATAATTAGGTTTAAAAAGTACATATTCAAAAAAGCGGAAAATCTTGCGTCGAATGATGTGAATCTAATTTGCATAAGTCAAATCAATTGCTCAATTTTCCAGTCGATCCGCCTATCACTTCGTTGAGGCGTACGACCACGAGATGCCATGTAATTTCGTGATGGGCAGCTTTTTATACGTAACTGAATCACTGAATATCTTGAAAATGGAAAGAATTTAGACCGATCGATTGTATTTATTCTATAAGAAGAATGATCGAAAGATTGAAGGAATTCCGATAAAAAAGGTTGAACATCAATTCGATCACGCGCGCTTCAAACAGTTAACGATTAACTTCGTGAAATTGGTGAGTTGATACTTAAAATGATAGCAAACTAGTTTTTATGAATTCCTTTCAGTACCATTCGACCGCTTACCTTGCCAAGAGCAGCACCGGCGGTCCGTACGGACCGTACAACAAAGAGGAGTTCCTCGAGAGCCACCGGGAATGCCTTGGAAATGAGGTTGGTTGAAGAAACGTACGGTAGATTTTCTCTGTGCCAGCATCCTTGCTTCATTCGATGATGAATCCGAAGGCTCAATCAATGACACCAAAATTGAGCTGATCGGATGAAAACTGAGGCTGAATTATCTAAAACCAGCCAAAAAACCCGCCTAATGGCTACCTGGGCGTTTTGGCCGACGTGACGCAGTCGGGAGCGCGCTTGTCTCCAGCCCTCACGACTCGGGTGTGACTCCCGGCTGTGTCATGACTTTCGCTTTTTAAAAAACGAAATATGAGATGCACAACTACAAAGAACTCTAAGACTAACAAACTAAAAATCATGTAAATCGGCCCACGGGGAGCCGAGAACTCGCGACGGACAGACACTTCCCTTTTATATACCTGGTGGCGCACAATTACCCGCACTCAGTTCAGATTCTCCAGCTCAGCGAAGAGCCAATCAATTGACCTGATTCTTTTTTTATTATCAAATTGAATATTTTTCCTCCAATTTTCTGGATTTGATAAGAAAAGTTTCTAAACTTTTGATAGAGCGCTGCAAAGTCTAGACACGCGTTTCCTGGAACCGCGATTTTCTGGTTTTTGTAACTAGCTTCAATGCCTCAAAATCAAAGAAAACCAGCTTCATTTACTTCTTTTTACTTATTATTTCTAAGATCTAGCTCATTTTTACTAGGAAACAATGAATTTCGATTCGGGATCAAAGTTCAAAATGTGAATTTGAACTGAGTGCGGATAATTGTGCGCAGCCGGTATAGTAGATAGGTGTCTTTTAAAAAACTTACTACTTAGGAGGAACCCACTCTGACTCAGTACTACTTCAAGAATTGTTGGTCAGCGGATTACTGTATTTTTCTATCACCAAATACCAATTCCAGGGTTTCTGGCACTTCACCTCGATTGCAAAAACGTGGAAAATAGATCATTTTATTATCAAGATTCGCAGTGACGAGATTTTTTGTGGTTATTTCCAAGAGGATTTGGTCAACTTGTGCAAGTGAGTCATCTGTAATGAAAAAGATACGATACTTTAAAGTTCCTTCAAATTTCTACTTCTATTTGACTCTACAGAGTGAATTATGGCGACACTTTTTTTGGAGAAGTTGCTGGTAAACGCCTGACTTATTGCTAAAGTGTCAAGTGTTATATAGAAAATTAAAGCCCTTAACCTTGGTATCATTTATCTATAAAGAACTTTCCGGTTGGAATTATATAACTCATTTTACAAGCTCTAGATTGAGCTCTCCGGCGATCTACCATTTTTTGCACTTTTCTGAAGAAAAAAGATTGTTAAAAGGTTTCTTGTTATTTATTTTATGAAAAAATAACATTTAATTTCGTTTAATAACAATAAGAATAACGGGAAACCCTTTTTTCAAAATTTCTTGGCCAAAATTGACTTTTGAATTCATTTGGAAATTCCGCAAAAAAGGGAAAATTGAGCTTTTTTGAATATTGACATTTGACAAGAAGCTGTTGCTATAGAAGCTTTTCTAGCGTTAAATCTTTTGAGTGTTATTTTTAAAGTAAAATACCACAAGTTTCATTGAAGGAATGTCTTTCTAGATGAAAATATTGTGTGTCAAAAAGTATCAAAAATGGCAGAAAGGCCGACTTGAGCTCATTCAAGAGCTTGTAAAATGAGTTGTATATTTCCAATCGGAAAATTCTTTGTAGATAAATGATGCCAAGATCAAGGGCTTTATTTTTCTATATAATAGTTGGCACTCTAGTAATAAGTCAGTCAGTCAACCATTAGTCGTGGTCATTCTGTAAAGCAATCAAGTTTGCTTGGCGACTAATTTTTGCAGTACAAAGCTGATATTGGGATCTTACAGTAGTTTAGCCAAAGCAGTCAAGACAGTAAATCTTTTCAGTGAGCTACGATGGGACGAGTTGGAAATCCATGCGATGCACAGAAGAGAACGGTTTCTAGGCTGGGGCAGCAACGACATTCGACCAGAAAATATTCCCCGTGAAAAAGTTGAGCGTTTTTTTCGTGAAAATCTCCCCAAGTGTAAATTGAAGTTTATGTAAAGTTATTTCAAATGTTTACTTTATTTTTCTCTTTAAATTTGGAAGCTTGGAAAACGATTCGCTTTTTGTTAAATTCTATGCACGATTTGTCAGATTCTATTGAATTTTGAAATTTTATGCTTGAATCCGGTTTAAGGCTTTAAACCCTATCAAATTTCTAGAATTACTCTTGTTATTTTCTCCTCCTCTAGAGAAATGATTAAAACAAATCGTTTTATCAATAATGTAGCTTCAAAAACTACGGTAATCTTGTCTCGAGTAAACTACAGAAAAGATGGATGACTCAGTTATTTTTGGTAGAAATTGAGTCACATTACGTCATGCTTACCCAATGTTGATGTCAGCTTAGATCTATTAAAATAAACGGTTATAAGAAAGTTCATTTTCAAATTATTTGACCAAACAAGATTCACGTTCAACAAGTTTTCTTTGTATTTTCACTATTTCTCTTATTTTCACCAATATTTACCTGTTCTTTTAAAGAAAAAAGCTTTTTTTGTGAGCGCGAAATCGATTTTTCGCCTTTTCGGCTCTCTGTCGAATTTTGCTTGAAAAAATGTCTATGACTATTGCACAACATTTCTTTTACCTCATTCAGTGACACACCAACGAAATATCTCAACTTTTACAGCTAAAAGATTTCAATTTTCAGTTCTGATTGCTTTATTTCGTTTTGAGCAGAAATTTATTCACATGGAAAATAAAACGAGAACGAAAATAACAGCTTTTGACCAAGAAATTGTTGAGTACTGCAAAGCGAGGATACAGGTTGGCAAGGAGAATTTTAGGGAAAAGAAACACTGTATGACAACTAACTACATAATCGCTTGGTTAGATATTTTGTAGGCCAGCTGCTTGGCTATACCAGAAAACCCAAATCTGGCTTCTTGCTGGCTCAGGTTTTTCTAAGCTATGATGGCTTAGGTCAAGCAAGCTTAATCTGGTCAGGGAAATTTGCTTTTAGAGCAGCTTTAGCTTCTAGCATTCAGCATTCAGCTATTAGGCTGTCCAAAAGTCTTTTTTGTTCCTTTTCGCACTTTCGTTGAAAAATCACAAGTAACCCATGGTTTGCTCTAAATAAAAATGTTTATTGTTAAATTTCTTATTTTTTTAAGTTAATTTGGATTCACTTTCGAGCAAATTCGAAAGTGAAACCACGTGTTTTTCGTAAAAATCTATAAAAAGCTTTACGAAGAAATAGGCTCAATTAATTTCGCGGAAAATTTGGCCACCGTATTTCCTGTAATAGAAGCCCCGGGGCTTCTATTTTTTCGATGTCCGTCTAGGGAGGGGGCTATTATTTAAATGACATCGAATTGTATCGGGGGAGGGGGCAAGTGTAACTTTACACTCAAAACTTTGTTTGGTTCTTCTTGTCCTTCTTTTAATGGAGTTCTTTCACCTTTGAGTTTGCACTTCTTTGACGTCGCCTTCTCGTTCTCGTACAACTAAAACAAACAAAATTATATTTTAACCAACATTTCACTAGAATGACAAAAGAAAAAACATCCTCAAAAACACACTCCCAAAAAAAATCCAGAAATTTTTTTGCTCCTAAAGTCTTTCCAACATGCGCTAATTTACTCTGCATCTAAGTTTAATTGCGAAATTCTTATAGTCGATGTTTTCCTTGCCAAAAAGACCCGTTTTTTCGTTATTTATCGTCCCCCTGATGTTAACTTAGCTGACACATCTTCTCTTTTCGACCACCTATCGACATTCTTAGTTTCTGCTGAGCTAAACATTCTACTTGGTGATTTTAATTTTCGTGTAAATTTTTCCAGCGGTTCTTTTGCATTTGACAAATACCATCACCCCACTATTTCACTTGAAAGTTTCCTCATTACGAGCTCTCTTTTTATTTTAAATGCATTTCCTACTTTCTGTCGCTCTTCTTCTATTTTAGATATGGTGATTTCTGACTTTCCGGATGACGTAATCGACCTGCAAAGTTTGCCTCCTCTTCCGGGTTCTGACCACATCTCAATCAGCTTCAAAATCAATTCAAACTGCTCTACTCCAAAGAAAAGGGATCAAGTCTGTTTGCATTTTGATTTTGATCATGTCAAAGCGGCGGTGTGTTTACTAAATTCTCTAAATCAATCAGATTTTTGTGCCTCCTCAAATTCTATTGACCAAGATTATGACACTTTTTGCACTAGTCTCCTAAACTCGGTGGAATTGGCATGTGCTCATTCTTCTTTAAAGACCCCGCCGCACATTTTAAGAGCTAAAAGTCGTTTAGCCTGTTTTTACCGTCGCTCCTACTTTTCTCAACCCGCAGATGATCCTTTAGTTAATAAGGAACTAAATAAGCTTTCCAAATATTGTCGGAAATTTGAGGAAAATATAGAAAGAAACGCCATTAAATCCAAAAAAGGGAATTCTTTTTACACGTATATAAACTCTAAATCTAAGGACCCTAACCAAATTCCAAATTCCTTTCTTGATCCATCCAATCCTAGTGAAACACTTTTAGATCCCGGAAAAATTGTGCTTGAGTTTAGTAATTTCTTTCACAGTGTTTACAATAACCAGATACCTGATGAACCATTCCCGGCTTTTCCGCCTAAAGCCATTCCACCACAAGCCGATTTCCTCCTTACAGCTAGTGACATCGAAGCTGCTTTCAAAAAGTTGAGACCCAAAAAATCGCCTAGTCCAGACAAAATTACTGCTTTTTTTCTAAAGAAACTACATAAAGTGCTAGTCATTCCTCTTGCCAAATTCTTCAATAACATTTTGCTTGTCTCTGCGGTCCCAACTTACTGGAAACAATCTCTTGTGTCACCTTTTCTCAAAAAATCGCCCAAAAATATATTCGCTAATTATCGTCCCATTTCTTTAAATTCTCCTGTGTCAAAACTTTTTGAAATTATCATAAAAGATAAAATTTTTCAACATTTTGATAAGTACAATCTTTTTTCTGACCAGCAGTTTGGCTTCCTTAAAAATAAATCCACAACTTCTCAACTTATTTTAGCCTATAAGTCCTTTTTCAAAGCTTTAGATCAAAAGAAAAATCTATTTCCCAACTAGAAGCCGTCTTCTTAGATTTTGCAAAAGCTTTTGATTCTGTTCCCATTGATCTTCTAATTCACAAACTGCATGCTTACCGGCTCAGTCCACTTGTAATTTCGGTCGTCAAAAATTTTCTTTCTCAGCGGACTTTCAAAGTAATTCTAAATAATGTCCTTTCTCCCTCTTTTGATTGTCCTAGCGGGGTTCCTCAGGGTAGTATTCTTGGTCCTCTTTTGTTTACTATCTATATTAATGACCTGCCTAACTGTCCTTTCAAATCAAAAAATTCCTCCATCTGGCTCTATGCCGATGATGTTAAGCTTACGTTCAAAATTCCCATCGGAACTCAAGTAGCTTCGCTTGCGGCTGTAAAAGATGCAAACCATGACTTAGAACTTATTAATTTGTGGGCCAAAACGTGGAAGCTTTCCCTATCCCCTTCAAAATCTCAACATTTTTCCACTGGTAAATTTAGTTTCTCTTTGGTAATTAACAATATTCCTATCAATTACATTAGTAAATTTTGTTAGAGATTTAGGTGTCCACATCTCTCCCCCTTTTAATTTCACTAAACATATTGAAATCATTTGTCGAAAAGCTTCTTTTGTTTCTAGCCGTATTCTCAAATCAATTGTTCATCCTAACCTAAACTCTTACCGCAAATGCTTGACGACTTATATCCGGCCCATCTTAGAATATGCTTCTATTGTTTGGTCTCCCCGCGCACAAGTCTTTATTGAACGCTTGGAGAAAATTCAGAGGAGGTTCACAAAAGTCGCTTTATGGAAAATTGACTATTCTAAATATTCTAGCTTTACTTATGAGGAGAGACTTGCTTTTTTTGAACTAAAAACTTTACAGCATCGTCGCTTTGTCATTGATTTAGTCGAAACTTTCAAAATCCTCCGTTGTAAACAGATTAGCCCTTTGTTTATAGACTTTTTCAAATTTAAACCGCGGTCAGGGCCCAGAAGTGGCTCATTCCTTTTGCAAATTCCCTTTGCTTCCAATGCCTCTTTATCAAATTCATTTCCCGTTAGAGCCGCTAGATTATGGAACTTGCTCCCAAACGACATACGAGAAATTCAGTCGCTTTTCATATTCAAGAAACGTATCGATGCTTTAGATCTAGTGGCTCTTTGCTGTAAGTAATTGGCTTATTGATTTCAGTATGTATTGTATGATTAAGTATCACTGTGCATTTCTCTATGATTTCTTTCACTTTATCGTTTGAATAAAGTATTATTACTAAATAAGACATTTTAAACCCGTTATAACGTTATTTTGCAGAAAAATAATTGGCCTTTCTAATGAAACAAGCCGTAGTTCCAGCGGTGGATTTGGTGGTCTTGAACGGAAGTACGAAAAGGAACGAAAAGACTTTCTGGATAGCCTAATGGAATCAAGTAGATACCAAGCTTAAACTTTGTAAGACCGTAGTGGAAAAATATGAGATAGTTTGACTTCTCGATTTGAGAATATAAGAAAGCTCTTTTAGTCGCCCGAAGCTTTGAAGCAAAAGCTGGAAATTTTCGAAATGATTGTGGAGAGTGTACGTGGACGAGATGTGGGTGATAGATTGAAGTTCAATTTCAAACATAGGGATGAAAAATAAGGCTTTAAATTTAGGAGTTGTCCAATTATGTAGTTGATTTCCACTTGTATGGCTCAACGGTTACCGGTTTTGGTTCCAAGAACTCGGACTTGGATGTTTTTATGAATATTGAAGCAAATATTCATTCTGAGTTGGCTGAGAAGGATGATAAAAATGGGTTGGTTTTCAATTTTACCATATTTAATGTTATAAAGTAAATGCAAAAAAGTAGTATTAGGCCAAAATTTAGAGTTTTTATTTAGAGCTTTCACCAAGCTTGTGAAACGATTGAATCTTATGAATTTCAGTGGAGCTAAAAGCCAAAAATCTATATTGTAAAAATTTCAGTTGTTTGGAGAAGATTAAGAAGATTTTGCGACGCAGCTCATATTTTGATGGTCACTATCGAGAGGTGGTGTTTCTCGCAAAAGCCAAGGTTTGACTCAAATATCATAGCTTTCGATTTTCAATTCAAGTACTTGTAAAAGATACATAGTTTATATGAAAAGATATGTCATTTCTATGTACTTGTGCGATAAACGAATTCTTTCTGTCACACTCAATTCCTCGCTTTTCTCACAAAACAAAGCCGAAGCTATACGAAAAGCTATGAATCGCGTGCGCTAGAAAGGATGCGTTTACAATTTTGGATGTAAAGTATTCAAATCTTAATAGGTACCAATCATTTCGATGACCTTACTCGAGAAATTCAATCACATCAATGTGGACATCAGTGCGAGTTCGCTTGAAGGAGTGCACAACTCGTATTTATTCAAGCACTACAATATGTAAGTGAAATTTTTGAGCTGAGATTGTATTATCACCTTGCGGAAAACGTTTCCCACAAGAAATTTGGAGCGGGAAAGCTTTTTCCGTGTATTACCACCTCGGGGGAAATGGCCGTGGGAAATCCCAAAATTTCCCACGGGAAAAGTTTCCAATGGAATTTCCTATAAAGTGATATATTGGTTGGGTGAAAGCTCCGGGCAAATTTTCCCATGGTAAATTCCCTTCAAGGTGATAATACGGCCTCTGATTCAATCAACAAGTTACTCTTTAAAAAGTGCTACAGAAATTGTCGACTGTTTGACTTTTACTTGTAAGAAATCTAGGTAATTTAGAAATAGAATTAGTAAGCTTGAATTGCCACGTTCAATTGATTTTTTCCAAATTTTCAGATTAGAAATGAGATTTCAGGATCGATGAACGCTTTGCTCAACTCTATCTTATGGTAAAGGAATGGGCGACGGTGAACGATATTTGCAACTCACAGGCTGGCTCGTTAAATGGGTGAGTGTGAGACAAAGGCAGGTACTTATCGATTGGGTAGATTGGATTGCTACTTGACTCTGTGATTTGTTAAACGCCGATCCGTTTGCTAAATAAATCAACAACAAATTTAGATGATTAGGTAAAACCTATTCATTTCCAGATTCTGTTATTGTTTGTTGGTGCTTCATTTTCTCCAGAGTGGAGTCACTCCACCCATTCTTCCGAATCTTCAAAAATTGTTCCCTGAAAAGGTTTGTCATTTTTAAAAGCCATAATGATATTAATAACAGCTTGACAAATATCCGTTATCGGTCAAAAATTATCCGTTTGACAAGCCTGATCAAATTATACGTCTTGTTTTCAGTTTGCAATGACGAGAAGGTTGGATGAGTTGCAAAGGGATACAGACGAAAAACTGGATTTCGATAGAGGTGAGGTTGAAAATTCTTATGAAAAAGCTCGGATTTTCGAGAAGATGTTTACATTTATTACCACAAAGTACATGCCAAAGAACGATTTCAGTTGATGAAACAGGCTTTTTTAAAGGTTCACTTGTGATCAAAAGTGTAAACGCACCGTTTCTCACGCACAGAATGCTTCGTTCCCTTACAGCTTCTCTTATCAAACAAATTGCAGATTCTATCAACGAGTCAACAATTGGTGAGCTTTTCCTGGGATTTTTCGAGTACTACAAGAAGTTTTCATGGAAGACAAAAGGCATTTCGATACGACGAGGGGAAACTTTTTTAAGGTAAGATAGGTAAGAAAGAAACAGTGCCAAAACTTACAACTTAAGGCCAAACATATAATGTTTTAGACCCAATGAGAACAAGGACTATGTTTATGTGGAGAATGTGTTCAGTGAAACGAATGCGGCTCGGTAAATCTGGCTCCAAGGAATAAAACTGTCAAAAAAGAAGTTTTAGAGTACTTCGAACTCACCGCAGCTTCAAGATTTTTCTGTATGCAATTGAGAAGATGGTGGAGAATTTCTCAAAAACCGCATCACTTGATGACATTTTAAAAAAGATTGAAATTCCAAAAGGCTTGATGAGCCTCAAACAATTGGATAAAGAAAATATCAGGATTCAAGGAAGAAAGAGAAAAGTAAATGGGAGAAATGGAGGAGGAGTAGTGGAAAAGAAAAATAGCGTGTAAGCTTGTAGATAAATTTGTAAATAAATGAATAAATAATTTGGCTTCTTTATCATTTCAACAAGAAATACACAAAATTACAAAGCTTGTTAAGAGCAAAAAAATGTTAATTGTAAGATTTAGGTTTCAGCTAGGAGCTTTCTAAGTAGTAAATAGTATACAGTAGTAAATTCTCTAGAAGTTTTTAAAATTTCAAAATTTTCATGCTTTATAGTTTTTTAAACCTTGCAAATCCTTAACTTTTAGTTTTTTTCAAAACCTTTGCTTCTACCAACTTTGTTTTCTTTTTGAAAACAATCCATTCTCCTTTCTTTACTTTTCTTTGACTCATGGCATAGTGGGCAGTGTGCTTGTCTACGGAACGGATCGATGCTTTGTAGTGAGTTCGAATCACCCACTGGAAAAACTTTTTCCTTTTTATTTTTCATTTTGATATTTTTGATTTTCTTATACTATTTTGCTTTATTTTCTTATCTAATTTTGATCAGAGCAATTCAACATCATGAGCTAGGTCTCGTTTCGAAATTCCATGGTGACCCAGTACTCTTCCCTAGTCAGAGTCAAGGCAAAAACTAATCTACTTGTAGAAAAAGCGGGTACACTGAAAAATTTAGATGATAGAAGTGAAAGCAAATCAGGTGAAGAGAAATTTGTGGAGGTTAAGCTAAAGAATGAGGAAACAAAACCTGCTGAGGAACCTGAAGAAGAAAAAGAGAGTGAATCATTGGGATGGGATGCTTGGGGAGGTAATGTTGTTTCATTGATTCTGTAGAATTTGTTTTAAAGTTAATTTGTCGTAGTTCTCCGAAGACACTTTTGATTTGGCTTGGTTGGCTTTATATTAGTTTGTCAAAAAAATCTGGCCTTATTCTTAGCCTTGGCTTTTGGTTTTTCAGTCCAGCTCTTTGAAAAATTTGAAACCAAAAGCTAAATTGTTTACAATTGTACTTTTTAACGTCAAAGTTTTTCACGCCTTGTAACTAAAATTTAAACCTTAAAAATTCCAGTTCCAACTATTTTTGATCTAATTCTTGTTCTTGACCTGATCAATCAATCGTTCGGCTCGACTTTGATTAGCTAAATTTTTTTCAGCTAAAATCTAACTCTTACAAATTCCAAATCCTTTCCAAAGTCACCCAAATGATCTTCGCCACATCGGGAAAAGCGAACAAGACCAATTTTCTCGAGTTTTGTGGCCTGTTGACGGGAGCTCTCGTTCAATTGGAAACTGTTGCTACAAATCTCCCATCTGGCACATACCAGGTAAAAATATTCAGTTAAGAATTTGAAATCTAAACAATTAGAAGTTGTATTTAATTTTTTCGTTCATTGAAAAAAAGCAAATCTGATAAGGCAATCGGTTTTTTGCTTCAAAGACGAATGTCCTTATCAGAAAACCCTTGTGAAATTTGTGGCACAAGAAAATTTCGAAAAATTCTATTACTTCAATTTTTTAGGGTGATGATGTGGCAACTCGTTTCTTCGTCGATTGCCAATCAGCGCAAGAATTACTCGAGAGAATCCTCAGGCTTTCGATCACCGTTCTTTTGGTTTGAGTCTAATTGTAAGACATTCAAATCACTTTCTTTGATTCACTGTGACTCTTATGGTAAATACTTATCTACCGAAATATTCCAATGATGATTAGGGTGCATTAGTTGCTTTTTTTGCGCTAGAAGAATAAACTTAACCTATCAAAGCTTCATTGAGCTTTGCTAATTCATAGCTTTGATTGACTATCGAGGCCAAATCCAGATCTTGCAATCGTATAAAAAGGCTAATTTGAAGTTTTCGAACAAGTCATAGCCTATCAGATATCAGCTTCAACGCAAGATATCTGGTAAACAAGTTCTCTAGTAAAATAAAGAAGCGACTGGCAAAGAATTTGGAGCTGAGGAGGGGATTGAACCTTTCTGCGTAACGGACAGATTCTTTATCACTGAGCTATCGACGCCTTCTTTGCCCAGGCAGAATTAAGAAAGACAAGGAAGAAGAAAGGAAGGGAAGACAACTATTCAGTGAGGATTTGATAAAGATTCGGATCTGGAGTTGGATTTGATAGTGTTTTGATTTGATAGTGATTTGATAGTGTTTTCTCTGAATCGAAAAGCTAATCAAGTACGCCAGAAATGAAGTGTTTCCATTGTTAGCCCAAAGCACACCTCTCATTATATTTTCAGCCTTAACTTATTTAAAATTCATTGAAGCCAACTTGCCAAAACCTCTGAAACTTTTGAAATCTTTATGTTTAGTTTAACAATATTGAGATCATTGGGGTTTTCGTGGTAATTTGCGTAAGAGTCTTGATTTTTAATGATTTTTGGTATTAAAGCACAATTCTATTAAAACAAATGCATGGTAGATATTTGATATTTGACAAAAATGGTAAAAATGTGCTTTGTAATTACTTTTATGGACTAGTCTGAGAAACTTCTATCTATTTTTTTTTCTAACTATGACAGTATTAAAACTCAAAAATTGTAGAAATTACCGGTGTTATCCAATAATACAAATTTCACATGTCCATCGAAAAATGTGATTTTTCTATTGCCTTCCCATTTTTTTCGTTTTTTTACCAATAGATTTCTCTCCCTTGCAAAGCTGTGATAAAATTCTCTTTCGAAATAAAACTTTGCCGTTTTCAAGAAAAATGATCGACTGTCTTAAACATTTACCTTTAAAACTAAATTTCTATTTATTAAAACGTTCTTCAGAATGAATTTTCTCAAAACCGTTTCCCAATTGGCATCAAGTAGCCCCGAAGTGCAGCAAATCTTTCAAAATGCGGTTGGGAGAGTCGCGTCGACGCTGACGAGAAGGGAATCAAGAGATTTACAGGTATAAAATAATAAAAAAAGCTCAATTCCATCAACGATCTTGTATAACAATGCCAATCATAAATCAGGCTTGCTGGCAAGATCTTTGACGCGACTTTGTTGGTTTTGTCGGTATTATTACAAATAGCAAAAGTGCACAGTGAATCAGATACAAAATGGTATGAAAGACTTTGATAATTAGATAAATCATTACCATTAATCAATAAATCTTGAAGCCACAATTAGACCTTTTTTAGATCACCGCAATCAGCGACTCTGCACTGAAACAATTGGAGTTGAAGGACAACAATGGGACCACTTCGCTGTATAAGGTAAGATTCGGATATCTTATATGTTCAGAAAATTCCATTCAAAACTGATTTCAGGACAAATCAAACGTCTTCTACGTGATTTATCGCCCGACGAAAAAAGTGATCATCAAAAGTATGCCGGAGGCTGAGGGGAAAAATCATCGCCAATCGACTAAATCTTCTCTTTGCTGGACTGTACGATGGTAATCATAAAGCATAATAAATTTACATCTAGTGAATATTTTAGAATCTTTAGAACCTTAAAACTTTTAATAGCAAAACTTTCAAATAACTCAACTTATCAAATCAACCCGCGAACAGCGAACCGTTTCATATTTTCCAGTCACTTTTTGACTTTAACTAATCTAATCTAGATCTAAATCTAGATTTGCAGATACTTTACATTCAGAACTTTTGAATCTAGATTTGCAGATACTTTACATTCAGAACTTTTGAATCACCCTGTATATTCGAAATCCTACTTTTCATTGCCTTGACTTTAAACTTAATATTCTTAAGCGATCTCAATGATTGTTTTTGCAGAACTTCAAAACAGTGCCAAATCTGTCTTTATATTCAATTTTAGACCCAATCCGACAATTGCCTGACAACGAGCTGGAGCGAATCGCTGTATTTACTCTCAAAAATCCGAGTTGGACTGAGGTGCTGGAAAGCTGTTTTACTTTAGAATCTGCCTAAATATAAAAAAGTAACCTTATATGCAATTTGTCTTTTTATGCTAATTGTAATCGAATTCAGATCCATTTGGCGGCGGCGCTCGGACTGACCCGAACGCTGAGCTTTCTCTTCGAAAGAGACGCTGTTGTGTAAGTTTTTGTCTAAAATGTTTTAAAATTCTATAGGGTAGCGCACAATTACCCGCACTCAGTTCAGATTCTCCAGCTTAGCGAAGAGTCAATCAATCGACCTAATTCTTTTTTTATTATCAAATTGAATATTTCTCCTGCAATGTGTTTTCTGGATTTGATCAGAAAAGTTTCTAAACTTTTGCTAGAGGCTGCAAAGTTGCGACACACGTTTCCTTCGGCGGAATAGCGATTTTTTGGTTTTTGTAACTAGTTTCAATGACTCAAAATCAAAGAAAACCAGCTTCATTTACTTCTTTTTACTTATTAGTTTCAAAATCTAGCTCATTTTTACTGGAAAACAATGAATTTCGATTAGGGATCAAAGTTCAAAATGTGAATTTGAACTGAGTGCGGATAATTGTGCGCCACCCTGTATAATTTCTAAATCTAAATCAAGAATTATATAATTGAATGTATTCATGATACCTAGATCATTGTGCAAATCACGTTTTCAGGGTTGTGAACACGCCCACCGAGGACGGACTTTTACCGCTGCACATTGCTTGCGAGTACAATCAGGTGAGCCTAGATTAGGTTAAAAATTAGTTTGGATCAATTTGCATATTAATATAATGGTAAACTTAATCAATTATCTATTTCAGTATGAAGCGGCCATGTTGTGCACAAAAGCCGGCGCTCAAGCTTCAAAAATGAACGCTCGAGGGCAAACAGCGTACCATTTAGCGGCAAAAAGTGGAGATATGAGATTAATGAAGGTGAGAATTTATATATCTATATTTAAATTAGATATAATCTTGATATCAAAATATATTTAGACTTGACTATAGTACAAGGAGTACCGTGTTAGGTACCTGAGAAAGGTCTTGAATCCTAGCTTTGACCAGATTTCTGGCTCCTAGATTTACTCGGATTCAAGTATAAGTGATTATTATATTAAATATACTTAGTAATATCTAAAAATTGAATAATGTCACATTTGTAGAAAAAACTGTAGAAATTAGCTTTGATCTCGGTCTGGCTATTGTAGAAAAAACCGCTGCATATTCTGGCTTTGGTATCTTACCATATTTTTGTATCTTCTACCATAATCCATTTTCTATTCTGCATTAGCTTTAAGCGATAAGTATCTACCAGAAATAATAATCCAGATAATCTAGGCTCTTCTGTCCACCAATACAGCGCAAGCCATTCAACTTTGTGTCACCGCCGAAGACATGTCTGGTTTCACTCCACTCCAAGAGGCCATCTGCAATGAGAATCTGGAAGGATTACAGGTACAAATTTTAGTTTTACGTATGGTATTACAAAAAGATTGGTTTATAATTTAACGTTATATTCAGGTGATTCTCTTGGATGTAATCGCTTGTCGTGGCGCCAGAAACCAAGTGCTTCGTTGTCTTCAGCACTACGTCGTCAAAGATTACGATAAATGGAGAAAGTGAGTGAGCTGTTCAAAATGCAAGTTTTCCGGACCAGGTAAGGCAGAGCCAAGAGAGAAGTCATGTTTCCTTCTTTCTTTCTTTTCTTCTCCCCTCTTTTCTGTCTCTCTTTCTCTTGGGAAGTTGAAGTATCGGATAGCTCAGTGGCTAGAGCAATTGCCCGGAAGGCAAAAGGTCGAGAGTTCAATCCTCTCTTTGGAAATCTGCTTTTTCCTGCCAATTTCTTCATTTCCTGATCACAAAAAGCCTGTCAGAAGAGCTGGTTTAGCTCACCATCAGCTTAGGCCCGATTAGAACATTCTGGATAACTAGCCAGACTACTTAACGAGAGCCAGAGACTTTTGAAAGACCTGGATTTAACTTCTAGCTGGCTCTGGCCTGGTTATGAGCCTTAAGTCCAGGTTTAAATATCTTTTGATTGATATCAAGAGCTTGATAATCTAGTTATATAATTGGTTTCAGAATCGGGAGCCTCGTGTGCAGTCCACAACTCGATTGGTTGATCCAAATGGACCCGTCCGGGGACACGATTTTGCACAAACCACTTCCGGATCCCGATGTAAACGCTCAAAATTTACATAAGAATTTAAACTGGCAGTAGTTTTAAACTTTTTATAAGTATATCTATAAAGATTTTAGATTCTCCGTGTTCTGTGTCTATTCGCGGCCAGGAGCTGTTTCGAGCTGCCAAATGGGAGTGGACTGACCCCGTTGCAAGCAGGTATCTAAGGAATTATTAACTAAGTAACGAGTTAGTCATAATATATCTTACTACACATAAATGAATTTAATTTTAATAACGAATTTAGCCATCAATCGGGACGACTTGGCAGCTTGTGTGTGCTTTGTTTCGTTCGGGGCTGATGTGGGCAAAAAACGGCTAGAGGCGAGACGTGTGCTCAATTGGCGTTACAAG